TGGAAAGGGAAAAAATCAGCAGGGCTCGATCCCAACAGTTCGGGTTCTGAAAATAACCGGGACCGGCGGGGCCCACAACCAACAAAGACACAGATCCCCGGCGAGCATGAAACAAGAGCCGTACCGGACCCAACCACTCACCTGGATGTGTAGATATTAGACTTGTGGTGCTCTGAACTGGCCGGCTGAGTGGTGTGCGTTACCCAGGGCATCCGGCAATGGTGGAACCCTAACCCTTGTATATGCACCCGAGACACTACCCGAGAACTGGAGGACGTCGGCAGAGGCTGGAGCACAAGGTTATCATCATAGGTGCAAGCACCGTACCTCAATGTACTGTACGATACCGGTATGCAGCACTACACAATATGGCACAGGTCGTCTCGCGGCCATCACTTTGAATTACCCATCGCTCAATCTCCCCAGTCTAAGTTAGAGGCCTAGCATGCCCTTCGTCGATCTCCCCAACGAAGTAGTTCTCCAAATCTCGGAATCCTTACCCCCGCGAGCCATCTCAGCCTTGAGCCGGACTACTCAGCGCTATGCTAACCTTCTTAGACTCCCCCTTTGCGATAGCCTAGTCTGTCCTTCAGTCGCCGATACCTATAGAGGGCAAGCACTCTGCTCGCTGCTCCTGCGCGTCGACAAACCCCTCGTACAAAGGTTACTACAGAAGGATATATAATCAACCTGCTGCGCTTCCGAGATGTGTTCGGGTACATAGCGGCTGGGACTGAGTGGAGCCTACAAGCAATCCAAGTCCTCCTGGACAGTGGCTTCGACCCGGAGGCCAGGGGAAATGCGGCATGACACCACTGACGTCCGCGATCCCCTCCAGGCGCGAGGCAATAGTTAAGCTCCTGCCCACCCGCGAAGAAGTGAGGGATTCGAAAGCGGTAGATGATGCGACCAATGTGCCGATACACTTCGCGACCACCTGTGGAACGCCCGAGATCCTTCGTACTTTGCTGGAAACATCCACTTTTGACATCAACCTCCCCGCCTCCTATGGTTGGACGCCATTACATTCTGCAGCTATTCTCGGCAAAGTGGCTTCTATGAGGCTGCTACTTGCTCATCCGGGGATTGATATTGACGATGAGCGCTTGATTCCGTTAATATCCGCGGTTCGCTTGGGTGTGCTGAACCCGCCGAGTATCGTGCAACTGCTTACGGAAGGTGGGAGGGTTAACGTTAACATGGGGGGCTATCTGGGGATGACGGCGCTGCATTGGGCTCTTGTGGAGAGGGATGAGGAAACTGTGCGCTCTTTACTGAAGAGGGAGGATTTGAGCGTTCGTGTTCCCGATAATACCGGGCTTACCCCTTTGGATTGGGGGTGCAGGGCTCGTGATCCAGAGGATGATTATTTGGCTATTTTTTTGGCGGATGAGAGGGTTGCCAGCTGGGCTAGTAGGAAAGAGGGTTAGTAGTATCGCGGTGTTTGTTTGCCTCAGAAGAGGACGCGGTGAGAAGAAAGCAAATCTTTATCCTATGAGACCAATACCAAGACTTTTAAACACCGCGATATGTCCGTATGCTATCAAAACGTAGCCCGTTTATTCCTGTGTCTCAAAGATAGGAAGCCACTTTCGTCAATCCGAAAGTAAAAAACTGAATGGTAAGCTGGCGCTTGAACTACTATTACACACCTTCTAGTCCTGCAGTACATAATAAATTTAATATATGTTCAATCCACTGGTTTACAACACGGGCAACCTAGCAGGGTTCGCTTTACTTTCAAGGCTGCCCCAGGGCCCTCAAGACAACTTTTTCTTTACCAGCGCTCATCTTGTGCCCTCACTATCTCGGTCTCCAGCTAATAGTGGCCGGCAGGGGATGCGATTCCTTAGTCAGACCATGGCGCGTCGCTTATCGCTGGCAATGGTGGGGATACTCGCTTGCCGGTCCAAAATGAGAGGGTTCTTGATTTCTGTCATCGGGAATCACTCGGGACCTGTACTACTAGTACTTGTTGGAAATAGCAGTTGATGCCCGCACATGGAGGCTGTAGTGGTATAAGTACGCACTGCTGAAGGACGCGTAAGCTATGAAAAATTTTCTAATCCCTATCTTTTCTTCCTTTTTGTTCTCCCACGAGACAACACTTCCTGTACTTTACTCTTCTCTTCAAGTTCTTCTTTTCCATCATCTTAGAGACGATCAAGCGTGGTCTTCATCTTCACCTAAGTCAAGCCTCATGTCTCTACCCGAGTCATTCTACTCCACTGCGTAAAACCCTCACCGTCGATCATTTCCTCCGTAATAATCATTTTTCAATAGTACTCGTCCGCGGCCTCTAGACCACTTCCGAAATAATGAACCCTGTTGGAATCTACAAACATAGAGTGTTGTGGTTAGTCATGGAAGACGCGAAAAGGATGTCGAAGGGTAATGTTGTTCCCGGAAGCCACCGAAGTTCATTTCATTGTTTGGAGGCATTCTGGACCTGTTGAAGGTTGGAAGAGGATCCCAGAGGCACGTCTTTCCTTTGTTATCTCGGAAGTGGGAGGAGAAACTTGGACGTGTGTGGATCATAGAGACGGGTGTAGTGATCCATGGAGGGATCAGGTTGATTTGATGAGTTTTACTTATACCCCGGTCATTTCAAATTAGCTAGAGAGTAGAGCGAATGCAAGACGAAGTACGCGCCTTTCCCAGCTATCCCATAACGGCGAAGTTCCATCCCATTCCGTTCTTTTTACCGCAGAGAAATCTGGTATGAGCCTTCGTCATAACAATGCCTTGCTCTGCTTAAATACTTACGCCATGGAGTTGATTTGCCGTGTTGCCGTGCAGTGGAGAAAAACACAGCATAGGCACCGGACCTTTTCCGCTCCGAACACAAAAAACTTTTTATCCCTTTGGTTGGACTTATGATAGGAGCGTCCAACGGCGTAGCACATAGTTCAATTACACATGCTTCTACGGTACCGTAGGGTTTTGGGGGGGAATATCAAGGTCCGGGTGAATAGCGATGGAGGAAACACATTTCTGACTACGCATTTAAAAGAGGGCCCTAATCATCTCTGGAGTAAATTTATAATCCAATTCCCACTCTCCCCTTAAAAATCGGCCCATCAACTGGATGCTTACCTGGTCCGAATACCGATGCATTGAGGTCTTAAAAACGGTCTTGTGAAGCCTGAAGAGAGCCAAGCTCTTAGTTTTCCTCATCGGCTATGCTGGTGTAGATAGATGACCTCGTTACTTGTAGGTACCATCAATCTGGGATATGAGCCACAATCCCCTGCTTCTTTTTGGTAGGGTAGATAGCAGAAGCACAAATTACCGCAGATTAACCGTACTGGGGCTGTAGGACACAGCCGGGCTCGGGGTCATTAGAGGACCGCTCTTATTCCTTGGAAATATATCCAGGAGATATATTTAGACAGCATCTACTCGGAGGTCAAGTAGTTGTCACTACATACGGAGACTTGTGGATGGTTTTCCGGACATTGTTGTGTATCATTCCGAAAGAAAATTTAAAACAGAACTAACTCTACTCGAGTAAAGTTTTCTGGATTGGACTGTGGGTGCCTTTCTTTCGCCTGGGCTGTTGGGAAGGGGGGGGCACTTTTGAAAATCCTCGAGTGTGCGATTCTGCAATTGCTAGCGGTATTTCTCCCGTCCCGGTATCCTAATTCCCCAGCCGGACAGCACTAGCACGAGTCTACTGTACGAGTACGAGTACCGGTATCATGTGATACCAGATTTTTAGAGTTACAAAAGTGCCCGGGGTGGGTTGATCAACGGTAAGTTCAAATTTACCCCAGTCTTAGATCAGCGCTGCTAACCGAGCGGCAATAAGTTTGCATACAGTACTGGTACTTGTACGGGCCCACCGACAACGATTCTTCGCACATTGGATGACATAGCATCGTGGCATATCTGCCATGATTACTGTGCGCCTCCGAGGGGAATAATGGACGTGGTGCCGGAGGGTACCGTATTACTAGCGTATTAAGGGGAACAACTACCGTTGTTCACATTTTGCCACCATGGACTCCACGACCGAGCAACGTGTGGCATTTTTCCCACCCGGGAAGGTTGTGCTCCAAGGATTGAAGTATGGGTTACACTTGATTTATGCAGGGGGCGCATTTCAAGCACTGGTACGGGGATTCTGGCCAGAGTCCGCCATCGTTGTGATACGGTACAAGTACTCGAGTATCGTATTATTATTCGTGTCTCCGAGCCAAGAGTTGGCACCTCTTTCTGAATAGCCCCCACGGGGCCGTAAAAAGTGTAGCGTTGAGGCTGCTCTTATCTTGAGTTAGCATGGGGGATTATGCTTTACGAGTACGAATTTCATGCACGAGGCTACTGAGAGAGTCACAACAATGATCATGATTAGCCTTCATCAGAATAAGATTCGATCGCACGGCAGAATAACTTCATCAAGTGTCAAACCTGCAATCCCCTCCGGGGGCTTGTACCTGCGATAAGCTTACATGAAGATTCATAAAGAAATGCTCAGTAAGTTCTTGCAGTATGCTTGGTATATTCCCACTCAGTCCGTGGTACCGTACCTTGTGTCACTAGTAGAAACCCTTTGAAATGGCTCAAACGCTATACTCTTTATGGCTCCTGGGAGGAGGCTGTTCCAAAAGGGGGGCCAACTCTTGGCTTGAAGGCACCAGCACTCGTACAGTAGCAGCAGCTCGCACTGCCCCTAATCCTCTTCATTTGTGCCGTACCGGGAAATAGTATATGCACAGTATATATAATCGTGCCAAGGTTGTGACTAAGCGTCACAACCCCTGGAGGAGTGCCCAGGTTGTGACGCTTAGTCACAACCTTGGCACGATTATCCTGGGCGCGGGCCACATCCTTATGACCCCGACCGCACCCCGAACCGCACGCGAGCAGACCCCCCATCAGAAATCCGTGGATAGTGTCGACTATTAACTTTATTCTAAACATCCTCTTATACAACCGAGTTGGGAATCTCTCCCCGGTCAAAGGGACCCGATTGATCATCGCCAACTTCACCAATAATGGGTACACCAACATTTAACAAGGAACTCAAGTTCCGGATGGAGGGCGCTTCATTGTGGGACAAGGGGAAATATATTTTCCACGAGAAACTCAAAAACGATGAGGGCGGGTCCCTTGCTCATGTTCAGCAATTCCTTAGTGACACCACGACGATAAAGCAAGCGTTAGAGGTTGGGGAAAGCACGAAGAAGAAGGCCGAGGGAAAGTATTCGGGAAGGATTGGGAAAATCTTGAGGAAGATGCAATTCTTTGCGCAGTTTGGAGACATTGCTATCCAGCATAATCCCGAGACAACAGCGCTAGTATGGGCAGCCTTTAGGATGATGTTGCAGGTATGTACTGCAAATCTCTGCGCTTACTTTTAAACGTCGGCTATATGTTGAGGATGAGCGCAGCTGGCGGTCAACGACCTTGAAACATGCGAAATACTCACTTCAGCGTGCGATGATGTTGCCGGCACAGTATTCATGTGTGAAGTGTATGAACGGCGGTATATTCAAGTGATGCATGATGAGGATAGCGATATAGCACAAAAGGTGGTTGAAAGGATACCATCTCTTTACGCCATAGTTCTGGAGTTCTCGTACGAGGCAAGGAGGCATATGAGTAGAGGGAAATTCTGTAAGCGATGCATATCCGAAACTCACCCTCGTCCAAGAAAAAGTGTCGCATATTGACTTGGTATACATACTGTAGCTCGGTTTCTAAAATCAGGAGAAAGTACGAATTTCACGCGTTTGCTGAATGATATCAAGAAAGTCTCAGTTGAGATCAACGATCTAGCAGGTCTGGCGTTTCAGCAAGATGTTTTGAAAACTCTCGGAGGTTTGCACGCTCTCACTCCAAGTTAAACGCTAGAGATATAGTGCTGATTGGCTGGGAAGAAATTGTTCATCAATCGGGCGAGGGAATTGAAGAGCTACGTAATCTCATGTCGACCATCATAGAAGGTATGTGCCCTGTTATCCTCTCACTAAATTCTCCTCGGCCATTTAAGTCTGATAGAATCAAAACAAAGAAAACAAAAAGAATGCTCAAGAGTCCCGTTTCGAGCAGAAGATCAGGGCAGAAGCAAAGGAGCGAGAGAGAGTGGAGGCCGAATATGAGAAAAATCTTAAGTGGCTCGACCGCCTAGAGGATCCCGGTTACGAACATCGAACAAACACCAACCTCCGGCAGTCGAATACCTGTACCTGGATATTTGGGGACGAGGAATATAAAAATTGGTATGAATCTGAGAGTTCTAGCATGGTATGGGTTGTGGGAGATGTAGGTGAGATAGCCTGGATAATCCTGCCTTGGGCGCTTCCGGGTGCCCCCAACCCGGGCCGCTTGGGGACGGTTTCCCTGAAAAAGTTGAATAAGTTCGTATGGGGTGTTAGTGTGTAATACTGATTTCATCCAGGTTTTGGAAAATCCGTGCTTCTGTCAGCTGTTATCGAGGAACTCCTAAAGGTGGATGATGGCCGTATCGTGCTATTCTTCTTTTGCAAATCTGGGGATGATAGTACACAGCGTGCGGGGGCTATCTTTCGCAATCTTATCGCTCATATTTATCAAAAGATCCATGATAACTTCCCCGAACTCCTTGAGGAAAGCGCTAAGATATTGGCCAAGGTGCAAAAGAAAGGCGGTCTCGGAAAGAATGACTTGGAATATGCCAAGTCTGTGAAGAATCTCAAGCCGGCCCTTGAAGGTCTAGCTAGACTTCATGAAAAGCCAGTATTTATCGTTATTGACGCTTTGGATGAGTGTAACGACCGCGAGAAGGAAGGGTTGACTAATTCACTACGTGGAATGGTTGGCACAAGCGCCAACCTTAAGATTCTGGTGGCTAGTCGCCCCGAAGCCGATCTCCTGCAAGGGTTTGAGGAAATTCCGAAGATTGAACCCGGACACAATAATAACAACTCGGGAGATATCAAGGCCTACCTCGTTGAAGAATTGAATAAGCTCTCGAGCTGTACACCCAAAGAGCGCAAGACGGCACTGAAGGAGATCATTAAGAGATCGGCAGGGATGTTCAGATATGCAAATCTAGCGGTAGATAGACTCCGACAGCCATGGCGTCGGCCTATTGAAAAACATCTCGCTACTTTCCCTGATGGGTTAGAGGCTTTCTATCGGCAGCGCTTCCAACAAATCAAACCCGAGCTTCGGGAGATTCTCGTGATGGCCTTGAGGTGGATTATATTAGCCAAAGGAGACGTTACTCCCCTGATTGTTGCAGAAGATTATCGACGAGTGTTTGATGACGAGTGTGATGATGATGATGGTGATGATATGGGCGGAACTGATGAAGCTAGTTCTGACGATGGAAGTGGTGAAGAGAGTGACAATGAAGAGGCGGATCAAGGAGTGGCGTTAACCGATGGAGCCGGAGCGGTTGATGGCCAAAAAGTAGGAGATGACAACATGCAGAAGAAGAACGAAGACAGCGGAGATCCGGGGACCGAACCAACTGATATCCCCGAAGGAAATGACGATGATGTTCCGGCAGCGGAAGAGGACAAGGAAGCTAATGAAGAAAATGCAGATGAATATGGCGGCATGCTCGATGACACGCTTAAGCATGTGCGGGAAGCAGGTTCAATATTCATTAAATTCATTAAATCCACAGACAGAGATGCTCCGCTGCGCCTACGACACACCTCTGTTAAGGATTTTGTCCTCAAAGAGAGCTCTAAATATGCCTCTATCCGCCGAGAAACGTTTTGTTCTCGATGTGCGAGCAACGGAAGTGAGCAGATTACCCCGCTTTTGGTCACTCCCAAGCATGGCCACTTGATTCTTTCCTTGACTATCTGTGAGTTCCCCTGCCAGCATTCGGGAATGAGTGACTAGTTGTGGCTGATAATGTAAATGACCGCAGTCACCCATCTAAATTCTGAAACCTTTAAGCGTCGCTACCTACCAATAGTTGCGACCGAAGAGTCTGAGGCGGGTGATCAGGATACTGACGAGGGGGTGGCAGGTGAGGAGGAGGGGGACGTAGATGTCCAGAATGACGGCGCAGTCGAGGAAAGTAAAGAAGTCTGCGATGGTAATGAAACAAAAGAAAGGGGAGAACAAGAGGGTGGAGGTGCGGGAGGGGAGTTGGATGCGGGGGCTACAATGGAAGAGGAGGATAGAAGAGGAGAGGGAGGGGCAATTGAAGAGAGAGGTAAGCCAACGGATGAGACCGCCAAGGATGGCACGGGCAATAAGGGAGAAGGGATAGTCAAAGACAGCAAGGATCTCGAAACCACATACCCGAGGAAAGGTGAAGACGACTGCGCCAGTACTCTACAAGAATCGACACCATTACTTATGAATGACTCCGGAATCGATGTTTCGTCCCTCGAGAATGATGGGGAACAATTGGCGGGGGAGGAGGGGGCAGAGGTAGCGGAAGTAGTTGAGGAGGAAGATAGAAGGGATCTTATCCGCAGAACCGGTCCTTTGTGTCAGAACGAGCGGACCTTCTTTTGGTGTGCGGACGAACAGAGCGAATATGGATCGGAGTTCTTTGATGGTTCCAAGGGCGAGAAACTCGAAAAAATCGCGATATTCGCCGACACGCACAACCTAGATGCACCCATTAAGGGCCTACGCTTCAAGCGCAAGGATCTAGGTTGGAGTCATTATTTTGGCCATAGCATAAGGGGGCGAACTGGAGTAGTTGTCTTCGACCTTCAGGGAGAAATAATTCAAGGAGTTCTCTTCCAGCGGGCTGCAGGGCTGCTTGCTTTATCTGTAGGTGCATGTAACCATTTTTCCGGCTATGTTCTAACCATTTGGACAGTTTAAGACTGAGGCGCGGCGAGGTCCGTACTATGGTCTATGGTTCAATAGCCAGGACATTGCCGTAGCTGACTATCCCGGGCATGTTCCAATTGGACTATGTTGGTCTAAGAATCCTTCCGAAAGGGTCCCTCTTGGGCTACTATATAAAGCCGCTGACCCCCCAGAGGAATACGCTTATATACCTCAGGAACAACAGAATCCACCAACGGAATGGATCACCGATTTCAAACCAACATTGGAAGAAGCTGAGAATGGATCGGGAGCTGATGGTACCGCGAGTGAGGCAGATTCTGATTACGAGCTTGAACCCCAGGAGCCCAAAGGAGATGGCGGGGATGCTTCACTGAGCCCGTGCAGATACGAGCTCGCAAATTGGATGTATCATCTCCAGCAGGCGGAGCGTCTATGGACGCCAGAGGAGCGTGAAGGCAATAAAGACTGGGATAGGCTTTGGGATTTGGTTGAAAATTTTTTATGCAACAGTCCCGCGGAATTTACGCTATGGCAATACGAAGTTTGGCCAATTGTATACCCCTATTCCTTTGATGAAGATAGTGTTAGTGGGGCTCTGCATGTTGCTGCCTCTTATAGCTTGACAGGACTGGTTGCAAGATTACTAAAGAAAGGCCACGATGTCAACTCGGCAAATGGGGACAGAATAACACCCCTGCACCTAGCGGCGGCACTGTCTCAAGACCCAGGTCTTGTCAAATTACTCCTTGAACATGGAGCAGATGTCAATGCCATAGACTGCAACCAACGGACTCCTCTTGGAGAGCTTTCGTTAAAGCTGAATGGTTCTCCCGAAATTGCAAAACTTCTCCTTGATGGTGGTGCTACCGTAGAGGCAGCAGATTGGTCGGGCATGACGCCATTGCATGCCGCCTGTCAGAACGGAAACGTCGAGATATTCAGGCAACTAGTTGAGAAAGGTGCAAATGTGAAAGCACAGGACGAAACCGGCGAAACACCACTCCATAAAGCTTTACGCCGCGCAGATCCACCCCCAGAATTAATCGAGGAGCTCATTCAGCACGGCGCCGATGTGAACGGGCAGGATCGGCAAAGTCAAGCTCCACTCTATGAGGCGGCAGAATTGGGGAGTTCTGCTGCTGTTTCTATTCTCTTGAGACTAGGGGCGAATGTCAATGATGATGATGAGACCGGAACTACAGCGCTGCATATTGCAGCTGCGAGTGGCCATTGCGGGGTTGTCTCTCTACTGATAGAGAACGGCGCAGATCTTAATGCGAAGGACCACAAGGGCAAAACAGCATTAGCTTGGGCAACTCAGAACGGAAGGGGTGAGGTTGTCTCATATCTCCTCGAGAAGCAAACCTCCCAAGACCCTGAAAAGTCCTACCTTGTCGCTGCAGATAGTCAAGGGAGGACTGCTCTCCACCGCGCTGCGGCTAAAGGGTATACCGAGATTGTAACGAAACTCTTGGATGCGGGTAACCCAAGCTTCGGCCCAACACAGCTGGAAGGAAACAGCCTAGCAGCAACTCCATTGCACCCGGCCGTATTCGGAGGGCACGTAAAAGTTGTTGAGCTACTCGTGGAACGCGGCAGCGATATAAATGCGCCAAACCGAAATGGGCAAACCCCCTTGGAGCTTGCCGTGACCCAGTGGGGTGTTTGTTACGAAAGCCGGTGGGAAGCAATGCACGATTGCATAATGGCTATGATTAAAAGCCACCCCCAGGCAGCAGTAAACAACTGGAAATTATTCCGCACAGCAATCTACAATAACTCTGTGGATGTAGTCACAAGTGTACTTGACCAGGGTATCGACCCAAACGCACTCGATGAGCATGGATGGTCACCTCTAGCTATTGCTGAACAAATGTTGAACAGTAGAGCTATTGAGGACGTAGTAGAGATTCTTAAAGCTCGAGGGGCGAGAGAGTTTGGGGCTCCCACGGGTGAAGCGAATGGAGGGCCGGTCATAGGGCAGCCCCCGATGCTAATGAACCGGAATGATAGGGGGCCCATCGTGGACGTTTCGGAGGATGGGCTAGAAGTTCGCTCGCTCAGTAAGTAGCTTTCATGAGCCCTTGATGCAGTGAAATATTCACTTACCAAAAAAAATGATCTACAGGACCCGAATCTCTACATTACGGCTCGATACGAGCAAACCACCCGATACCCAAGGGGGAGTACACATTTTACTTCGAAGTTGAGCTCCAAAATGTTATAAGATTAGAGAGCGACTGCCCGTAAGCGCACCAACCAACCAACCAGTCAACTAATTATTCGCCCAACTTGCTAACCCCTCAAACCACTAGTGTCATCGCTATAGGAATATGTACCGATGTAGCACCCCTAGAAGACCAGGTGCCAGGCATGAGTGAACTGGGCAGCATAGCCTACCACGGCGACGACGGTGGATTCTATCACAATGGAGACGGGCGCGAAATCTACGGGCCGACCTACAGCGCCGGAGACGTCATTGGTTGCGGGGTAGACTTTGTCAACGACCGCATATTCTTTACAAAAAATGGGGAATTTCTAGGTGGGCTTAACTCCCACTTCATTGCATAAAAATCTTTTGCTAATCATGCTGCCCGGGTATGTTAGGTTTTAAAAGCATCGTGACGGGCCTTGTGTATTATCCTGTTGTCGGCCTCGCGGAGGTTACGGTTGTGAAGGTGAATTTTGGGGGTGACCCGAGTTGGCCATTTAGGGGGTATGTGTTGCCGGATGGGGTTGCGAATACGGATGTGAATGAGGACGGGGAGGGGGAGGGGGAGGGGGGGGGTCTGCCGGTTGAAGAAGGGTCACAACCGGTCGGTGGTGGAGCAAAAAAAACCGGAAATTCTCCTCCCTGCTGCTGAAGGGGAAGGTGAGCAAGTTCATTGGGCGTTTAGTATATAGCTTAGTTGCACGATATATTGTGAAATTTTTGGAAATTGTATCAGATCATTAGAACGGAGCCCGGAAAAGCGCAAGCGGTGTAGTTGGTCCTACCACCATGGATGTTATTATATCATTAGATTCTTGAATTTCCTGGTTGATGCCATGCTGATCCAGCATTCAAGGAATGAGTGATACCTAAGATCTTAGAAAATAACTTACTATAAGACTTTATGCTACCCGTAACCCAATCAAGCCCGACCATTGTCCGTCACTCTGGGGTCGAGAATCTCGCTGATGCCATCACGTCACAGACCTTCGCCAATCTCACACGGCGCTCTAAGATACCTCTAGTTACGCAGTCCGGTCAGAAACGAGCGCCTTCGGAAAGTTGAACCTCCATTCCTGACACTCCTCTCGACTACTCACAAAAACATTCTGTAGTCATAACAGCCTCAAAGATAATTCCGAATTTCCGATCAATTTCCTCAACTGCGACTGCGGCTCTTGGGTAGCTTAGAGTTGTACCAAAATTAGGTTTCCATTACCGGCGCAAGGCTGCAAATGACCTTAAGTTGAGGAGCGCACCGGAGACCTCTGCTAGCATCATTCCGGCGCTTTTGGACCCCCGTATCATAGTTCGATACGCCACATAGTCCCACGGGTACACAAACGTGCTCGACACTGCCCTGCCGAGGGAATAATTACACGCAAACATTTCATACCTGTAGATCAGATACTCGCCTACCGGTAGTCAAAGTTCACGCTGAGCACTACTGTAGCCTCAAGTAGGAGTACAGTACAGGACTCGTCCGTTTTCAGTGCTGCGGTAAAACCAACTTTCCTATTGGTATGGATATACCACCATATCAAATCACCGCAAAAACAAACACCAAGCCTGGCGCTCTCAAGCCCAGCAACAAGTTAGTGGGTAACTCCGCCTCGGAGGCTTCTTTAAAACCCGAGTTTTTTTTTCAGCTTTTCCTCGTCGTGGTGTGAGATGGATGCGAAGCGGTGCTGGCGGTAGGTATTCCAGTCATAGATTTATGATACTCTATAGTATGGGTAAATTGCGGGCTCTATTGCCTTGGGGGATTGGGTACGCGGATATAAGTAATTGGCAGTGATTTCGGCACCCCAGGCCGAGACCTGTCGGGATTCAGTAGGACCAGGACAATTTCTGCCGGCTGCTTTCCGATTAACGTATAATAAACACTGAACAATAGGGGCCTATCGTACCGGCAACCGGTACGTGAATTTACTACATATCTTGAGCTCTGGGGACTTGGAAAATTAGTGCTTTTCCTCATGAATTGCATAGGGGCTGGTTGGTAGTGGGGCTGTGGTGGGCACTGCACCGAGTGCTATTTTATACTTGTAGGTCATTCTCCTATTGCCGCTAATAGACTATAGTGCTCGTACCAGATCACCAGTAAGTTTGACAAATGGATAATTAGTTCGACGCCCATGGTCCGAGCATCTTTGCCAAAAGTACTCGCAGGCTCCCAAGAAGCAGATCCAGCCCAGTATCATTCCAAACAGACAACCATCTGTACCTTACTCGAGTACTGTACGGGAATTTAACTTACCCGTGACCGACAACCTAGAAATCAGCCACTGACTCAATGAATGTTACAAAGATGGCCTTCGGTGATCGAACCCGGGGGGTTAGAAGGGGGGGGGGGGCGAATTGGGGTCGCTAGGAATGGGGACTTAAAGAGGATTCTTTAATGTCGTATTAAGTAAAAATAATGGAAAATATCTATTGCCCGGGAGCGGGTAAAGCGGAGAAAATTACGAAAGATTCCAGTACGATCCAGGCAACAAAAGAAACTTGCCCCCCCTCTCCGAATGTCCAATGCAAAATTCCCATTTTCAATTAGCTGCTAGAAGCAACCATAATAAATCCTATCTCCAAGAATCTGATGATATGATAGAAACTCATAAGGAGCTTACCATTATGAATTTTTCTAATTCTCTACCAACCGTCTCAAATACCAATGCAGAGACACGAAACTGCACTATTCTGTTGATATGCAAGGTCCCACACAGGTTGGATGTCCTGGTGTGGATTTTAACCTCCGATTCCGGGCTCGGACTTTCAGGTTTTTGTGGAACGATCCCGTAGCCCGAAATCTAACTATGCGAATCCCTGGGTTAACCTCTCCGTTGAAAAAAAATCCCAAATTTTTTCTCACTCTTTGTTGCTAGATAGGGCATATCGGGGATCGGTGTTTTGTATGGAAAATGGGGGGGACGTTCCTTTTTCTACCAGGATCGTGCGGTACTGTACTGTACTCTACATGTACCAGTATCTGTTTATCGGCAGATTTGAATCCAACACGCCTACCATGCCTAAATTACTGGCGAATTTCAAAGTTAGTCTGACACCTTGGCGCCAATCATTGTGCTTTTGCAGATCCTTAGCCTGAAAGCGCCAAGATACTGGACTCGGGTACCGGCACTCTGGGCAGAAAAAATGGTGAATGCTGTCTATCATAAATTACCATGTTTTCTTTCGCTCTCTCCCTCTCTCTGAAGTGACTCTAGCGGTATCCTATAAATCTCGGGTTCGAAAAAGCACGTCCCGACCCCTTCGATTACTTTTTGATGCAACACCCTCCGTGCCTAATTACTCGCTGTCCAGTAACTTGAATTTAACCCATTAGGAACGTATCATAGCAACGAATAGCGGTACCCGGGCGGCTAGCGACAACAACGTGAGGCCCCTGCAACGCAAGCCCATGCGCGACTCGAATAGTTGCCGTACCGGTCGGTACTTGTATCGTACGCGCCTGATGCCTTCCCCGCCTGTTGCCTAACACGGATGCCCACATTGCGCAGCCCGATGCTCCTGTTGCTCTGCTGGAGGCTCCAACCCAGACGCCCCTGATGCCGACCGGCAAAATTCAAAGCCTCTGCATAAAATGCTATAGAGCCTCCTGAGTCTAGCGATTGCTCCTATTATCACAGCTCACCATCGCAACCACAGCCCCCCCACAGCGCAATCACCACAATCATTACAATCACTGCAATCACAACCACCGGGAGCAGAAGGGGAAGATGGTCGATCTGACCGCGGCAATAGCCCTAGTGGTAGCATCGATAGCCCTCCTAGTCACAGGACTTCAACTCACCCAACAACTTCTAGCAACAAGCTACACCATCCGCAAATGCGACCGGATAATCAGCGGGAACCTCACGAGGGGTGGTAAGCGTCACTGGCACTGGCGACAATTCCGGTTCACTGTCGACTACGAGGGTCTAACGTTCTGCTTTCCTCAGGATCTGTACACATCTTTGGGCCTCAGTCCCTCCGTGTCCGTGCCCCCGGATACCAAAACGACCGCGGGGCTCTGGGACCGGGCGATGGAGCTGCGTGACAAGAAGAAGAAGGGTGGCCAGGGATGCTGGGTTTCATTTGTGCTGGATATGGCGCCGTACCTACTTCCTGAGAATCTCGGGAGGAAGGTGGAGAGTGGGGATAGAGTCCCGGAAGACCTCACTGTTGCGCCCGTGCAGGTTGACGTTATCACGGTTGTGCTGCTGTGTATTGCGGCGGGTATGAAGTTCTCCAGGTATTCGCCTGCGACTGGTGAAATAAGCATGAGTGGAAGAGTTGGGGCTATTACTAGTGCTGCGCATCCTACCTTGGGGGGTTTGTTGCATTACACCCCTGCCGCTCGAGCACAACAGGACCCGAGTCCAAACGAGACGAAGATGCGCTTACGAGCAGTGAACCACGTGAAGGGGGTATGGGCAAATACTATATTCGGAAGGTTTAATGATCGGGGAATTGGTCGTGGGTACCTTGAATTCTCCAAGCTCCAAGGGATGAAGAAGGAGATTTTAGCACCGGTAGACCATGAGTCGCTGGAGCGTAGCGATGAAGCCGCAAGGTTTATGGTATTAGCCGCAGGGTTTATGGCATTAGCCACAGTGGACGTCTACCTTGTTGTTCCACCGACATGCATTCATGCCGAATGTGCGCACTTTGCGGAGGTTATTGTCAAAGCCCATCTCAAAGAAATCGAAGGCATAGAGCCAGTAGTTCACCCACCAGATTTCATTCACGCTAGAGCAACCCTCATCGAGATTCACGGTGCCTCATCACCACACATTACTTGGGATCAACTCCACCCCCTTCACCTCACCAATCCAATCCCAGAAATCTTGGCCGCTCCTGTTGAACGCCTCCAACCCCTTAACCTTACAAACCAGGACCTACTCTCCTGCAAACCCAACGAATCCGGTAGAGATGAGACCACAGACCCCAGTACATTCATTACTCCCACCGCTGCTTGGGAACTAATTATGAATGCCGATGCAGCTTCTCATGCTCTAGAGAAAGAAGCCCCCGGGATCCGCAACTACTCGGATAGTGTCGTGGTAAAATCAATCGCCGCACTCAAAAAAGTGGGTGCCCCGTCGTGGGGCCGCGCCGGTACCGTTGTCGCCGAATGGCCGCAAACCGTAGCAGAGGCTTGCAGGGCCACCTCAAAGAGCAAAGGCTTCCAGCCTGATCAAGAGAGATTGATTTTCGCGCATGCAAAATTGTCGATTTTAAGGGCGAGCTATGTTACTGTTATGCTAAGGGCGGCGGGGAGCGTGGGACCCGTGTTGAAGGAAAATAGTGACCCAGTTACTGGACTGGCATATATGGCGTAATTGGATTTTTGGGAGTTGTGTGGAATAATTCGAATAAGCATCTTTTGAAACGAGTATGATAATTATGACAATAGACATTATGATATTAGCCCCCGCAGTGGCTTTCCCTAGGTACATCAGGGCTGGTCACGCGTTGGGGGCACCAGGAGTTGGCAAGTGGCTAAACCTGCCAAACCCAATTTTGTTCCGCCAGAGTCAACAGAGGTGGCGTAGACTTTGATAATCTTTGGGTCCCCCATCTGCAATTACTTCCTAGCACCTTCTTAAGACTTTATGCCTGCGCTGGCCAATCGCCATCCCAAGGCTTAGTATCTCGGAAACTAGAGGATATCTCCTCACCTGAGTTTCCCCAGATGAGTAGAGATCCCTGAATATGTGAGCAGAGAGTCAAAGACCAAAAGGTTCAATCAAAAATCACTAGACAAGACAACCCTCTTACCCTACGGACTAAAATTTGTGGATTCATAATTAATAAATTAAGCCTCGTAGTCGTTGGGCTCCACCCAGCGGCCTCTTGCACCGTGCAATAGTCTCACCAGTAGAAAAACTAACTCTATCGCCAAACAATTCTAGTACAGTACAGTCCTCTTCCGGCGGCATCTTCACGGGTCCATCCCGCACTCTCTACCTGGAAGGTGGCCATAAGCGCTAATGGCGTTCGGCCCATCTCGCCTACACAATGAGAAGCTTTTTAACGATAGAGTTGCCGCTTTATCACTCTCGGAAGGTTCTTTCGAATACCGTAGCCCATAATAGCTTTCTTCGCCCATCCTCGCTTACCTGACCGGGGGGGCGCTGGGCATCTTCGCTTACCAAATGACCGAATGCACGCGCGCAAGATTGGCAGGAAGAGAAACATTGTTTTCATCCCATTTTTGCACGCCTAATCAAGACTACGGTAGTCCCCCGAAGGTCCAGATCTTGCTCGAGTGGAGTGGAGTGGAGTAAATCCTGTGATCGCCATCGAGGGAGGATCTATTCCAGCGCTAGGCATTTACCGAATAATATTGAACATAATCAGCCTTTGGGGCCGCCTTGATAGAATAAATACTCCTGTGTTCCCCCATTGAATATTTCCGGGCGTAGAAGCACATTCTTGGTCTCTATGTTGCACTGCACCGCACCGCACCCCACAAAACGGACGGATGGGGTGCACGGAGAGGATTTTTGTTCGCCAATTCTTGCCCAATGGGATAGGGGTGGAGGGGCCAAGCTGCAAGAAAATATGAAGCACGGTGAGGATAATAGGCTGAAAACTCCTGCTATTCACTATCGGAGTATGACCAACCTGAGCACATAGCGAGAAACATGCCACAATAAAAAAAATTGGAAAGCGGTACCTCAAAAACAAAGTAGTCCTTGGGGGTGGCGAGCGGTTGCTCTCTACCTTATTATACTACTGGTAGTAGGTTTCACACACCCACCAAAATTTCCACCGGGCCGTATTTTTGTTATCCCCCTCAGCCATGATATCAACAAGTTGGTCGGAAATCGGAGGTCCCGACTCACAATCGGTATTCAGGCAGTGATCGGACGCGATTACTGACGGCTTTTGATCTACATGGGATACCGTACCACGCGATGAGCACAGGTGATCACTTGTAACTCTATAAATGCCCACCGACACCGTGCAGGAAGTCCTTGAGCATTGTGGGGGCTCTCCGAAGCTGAGGCTCCCGCCTCCCTAGACCGTGCATGACTTGGGCTGTGTACCTCTCCTTTGACCACAATGATTCCAGAAATCCGGTTGTAAAAAATTGGGGAAGCCCCGCGATCGTGGTAGACGTTCACGGCTCCTCTGGTCGGCTGAGCTCCGGTGCACCCATCCAACCCCGAGATCCCTCTCTGATGTATTACGAGCAAGGTTTAACCTACAAGTTTGAGAAGTAAGTGTCAATCAAGCTACGGGAACTGGTGAGTGATAGCTACAGCATCTATCACACACCGGATTCGTGCCTGCTGTAAAGTTCCCGGTGTTTCTTGCCTCTATTGGCTTTGCCTCCAATGTTCATCGGGATCCGATACTGGTACTATTTTTTGATAAGGCAACGAGTGCAATATGTCGCCCTGACTCACCCTGGCTAAGCCCACATCGCCGGGGAAAGATGATGTGGGCGTGAAGCGAAGCGGTCCGGGTATCTGAAATCAAATGAGGTCATTTCTGAATCAGATATCATTGGGATGTACGAGTACTACCGGTTTTCAAAAGTATCCGGATGCCTTGGCATTTCTTTTCGCCAGGCTTGGTGCTAAGGCATCCGGATACTTTTGAAAACCGGTAGTACCGTACCGTACTAGCACAAGCGGTGACCCAAGATCTGGGATCCACCACTGGTGATTGGGTGTGAGCCGATGACACTGCGACAAGGCTGCGGAAACTTGCATCACAGAGACAATCCCATAGGGTGAAAAATAATCCAAAAATACTAGCCATCTAGACTGTCCCTTTCTTTGTCTTGGGCTTAGGTTAGTCGATTAGTTTATGGTATTTTTCATACCCTCTCTGATTCAAGACTAGATAGCCTAACTTAAACAAGTGTTCAGACACTGATAGCACAAGTCGGGATCGCGACCCAGGAGAACCGCCTTGGTTGTCCAACCGGAGCCCCACCGTTAACTGACTTCTGCCATCCTGATTCAATACGGAAATGAGGAAGTCGACTTTTTAAATCTAAATATTAATTGACCACTATTACGAGCAGCGCTGCTTACTTGGCTGTCATCCGAATCTGTTGCTGATGGGTTCTCTTGACTCGGGCACCATATGGGGTTTGGTATCAGGATATCACCTCTAGCCTGGGTCTCTTCCCCCATCTTTGGCCCCAGTACCCCCTCCAGCTGATAGAACTTTGGAAACCATCGCCGAAGACTAGAGGGTGGAATTCCGTGAGGGAGTCCAGGAAGGATATGAGAGGGCTTTCAAAAGGTGGGATATACCGGTAGGAGGAAAAAATAGCGAGATCTCCTTATCGTCATGCGGGGATGAAAGCCCCTTTGGGAGGGGGGGGGGGGGGTGATAGAGCTGCTGCTGTTGCTCTTACCTACTCCCCGGGTAATCCTACGTTTTATTCTTGGGCGGGAGCACAACAGCTACTCCATGCATATCGTGGATCGCCGTCACACAGTATTGTTTTAATTCAGCTTCCGGGAATATCTTAATTCAGTTGCTTCTGATTTCAGACACATCGCTCCTTGTCATTCCTTATACAAGTGAGAACTCTTGAAGCCCGTTATTAGACTATCGCCGGAAATCAGCCTCCAACCCACACTAACTTACTTGCGGATTTCGAGGATTTCCGGACATCTTGGCGCCAAGGATGGGCGCTTTTGGTAGGCCTTAATATTGGGGTGTTGGGATACTAGTACTTGTAAAAGTGCCAGGGGAGATGTTTTCATACAAGACAGGGATTATTTTGCGGGTTAACCTAAATTAACTGTGAGAAAACATTATCCCTGGCACTTGTACAAGTACAGGTACTTGTGAAATTCGCCAGCAGGATTGGTTTGATTGGTCGACAGAGAACGGGTACCAATCCATGAGATTCAGCACGACAAGCGGGCTAACCTTATACTTGTACGAGGTTAGAAGGTAAGTTAATGCGCTTCTGGCAACTTCCGGAGAAAGCAGATACAGTATTACTTCCCTCACGCTCTCAATAAAATTCAGTGTAGGGGCACTTATACCGTGAGCTATTTTTGGCTGAGGCGCGTGAATGTAGGACCAACCCCGCTTCCCCTTACAAGCTTTGCGTTCCCGAGGTGGGGCAGGATCGGATCAGCTAGCCTTGTCCTCCCAACCCTCTGCCATCCTCGGTTTCTGTTGGGAAATAGGAGTATGTCCTATGTACTGTATGTCACAAGTGTAGAAAAGCTACAAGCAGCAAAACTAGCACAGAGGAAAGAAAAAAAGAAAGAAAAAAAAAAAACCAGGGCGCGAGGAAAATAGTATTCTCCCAGATGGAGCAGTCAGCGCCCTCCATAGCCTCTCCTGTGCGACAAAGGGGGGGCCCGGAGACCTCTGTAGCCGATCCCAGACAGTTAATTCGTCCCGAACGCAACGATCCATAATGGTGCCTACGAGCGCTGAGAAAGCCACCAAAAAAAAGAGAACCAATATGTCCCCAATAGTGCAACGTGAGCCGAGTAGGGCCTGTGATTTTGATCAATTTGAGCGACTGGTTGTGATGGGGTGTTAAATATCAATTGCGCTCGCACCCGTGATTAGACCGACCTACCGAGATATATGTCACAGCGCAGCACACTAGTGCTTTAGAACTATCAGTTTTGGGCAAATGAATGTTATTATAGCAGGACGCCGTTGCCCCCGCGGCTGTGCTGGCACCGCGCTTGGCGTAGGCGCGGGATGCACCTTGCCGGAACAACACATAACTGGTGCTCTATCTCTCCCCAATTTCTGAGAAAAATTCCTATGGAGCGAGAGGCTGCGCTACTGCTTGTCCCCGATCTAAAGATGTGCGATATGGCGTTGCAGAGCGAGTGCGTCGTCGACACATCCGAGGCCAAAAATGGAATTTGGGGGGATTCATGTCTCATTATGTCACTCGAATCATTGCCCATTGCCAGCGGCCAGAAAGTGATTTTGGAGTAACGTTTTGTGACGCCGCGGCCCGCTGCGCGCTGGCACCCCCATCACTCCAATACTTTCCTAGATGCCCGCGATAACGCTTGCCACCTTGTGGAACTATGTGGTGGGCGCCGGCCCTGCCCCCTCCTGCATTGGTTGAAGGGCATGATTGCCAATTCCTAAGGAGTTCTGAACTCGACCTGGGAGTTTTCTTGAAATTTCTGACACTGTGTGGACTAACGGGTCTCAAGGTTCCGGTGTGGCGCTCTAAACATAGAAGTCTCTCCCTTCGGGGGCCCTATTTGGGCATCTTTGCTGCGGCTACGGAGACCCGCTGTTGTACAGTACTGTATTCCCCCCCACTCACGATTTCCCCCGTTGCGCTTCTAGAGATCGTGGTATCATACTCCGGCCCCCCCCGGAACAGCACTGCATGCACTTCACCCGTCCCGCGTCCAAATCCGTTTAGGGTCCTGAATCCCTGTTGCCATGCGGAAGGCTAGTGCTATG